TTATTGTTAATTATGAAACCAAAATTTAAAATTGCCAATAAATATTTTATATTTTCTTTGTAAGAAAGGTGCGATTATTAAATTTTTAGCAAGTTCGCGATGGTTGCATTTACAATAATTATATTATATATCATTTTATTATTATAATATTATTATATATCATTTTTTATCCACGATATATTGTGATCCTCAATTAGAGGAGTGTTTGTTAAGTGCTCATTGCATGATGAATTATCTATCCCGCTTATTTAAATAATCCATTTGTGTGAAAGCACCCATCATATCTCCTAATAATATTAGCATCGAACGTACTTGCTAAATGTATTTTACAGTAATATCTTTTCCTAAAATAATAGTTATTAAAAAATTTTTATTTTTATATTTACTATTTAAAATTTTAGTGTTATTAAATTTATGAATTGTATGTATAGAATAGGCCGAAGTGAATTGGATCACAGGGTGAATCGGATTAACGATAATTTTATTACTTTTTTGTTTCGAAAACAGCTCGTTTGAATTAAAAAAATAATAAAATCAATGACAAATATCGACTAACTGTCTCAAAATTTACATTTATCCTATTCGTCTCGGTCTATCCTATAAATTTTTCTGTATACATTTGATTTGTATATTTTCAATCACATACATTCAATCATTGAAACTACAAATCGTGAGATTTTTGAATTTACACAAAATTATGACATTTTTAAATTATTTTATCTTTTACTTTTCTTATATTTTTCACATTTGATTATTTTTAAATCAAATTTAAATTAAATTTAAATAAAAATTTAGAAATTTAGAAATTTTTAATTTCTAAGATTGTTTTATAAGTAAATTGAATTTTAACTTTAAAAGTATATTATATTATATATTTATATCCAATTTGTAAACATTCGAGTAAGTAAATTCTTTTGAAATTCTGTATAAGAATATTCAAAATTATGAGAATGTCATGTTCAACATAAGGTCCATCTGGACCCCAAAGTGCATCAGGTAGTTAAAGCCCATTCCACCGAGTCCCTTTAACTTTCGAATTCTCGCTTTTACCGGCACAAAGGCTCATGTATTGAGTTGAGTCTCTTGCTTGACAGCTTCATTTCACCCTAAGTGGTTTCGTCGTGTCGCATCCTCGGTATCGCGAACATTAATCAAGGGATTGCCCGAGTGTTTCAGCAAGTGCGTTAAAAGCATCCTACTGTAACTCATACTTACGTAACCAATCGTATTAAGTTATCTTCACTTGATAAACGATTCAATCATCTGAAACTTTGGATTTTAATTTATTCATTGAGCTCTTCATATTCGTCTCATTTCATGTTAGTATTTTAATTAATATTGATAACATAATATTAATATGGAGAGAATGCAAAATTAAAGATTCCTTGAATTAACTAACAATAAGTAGGTTATTAATCCTTAAAACAGATTATTCATCCTTAAAAATGTATCTTTGTATTATATACTCAAAGAATTCTCGTTCATTTAAATGAAGAAGAGAAAGCTCTATCGAAAATTCTTATTATTTTTCATTGTGAAATTATAACAAATAGTTAAAGATTTTCTTTTATTCATTTGAATAAAAATTCAAATTTTTATCCTATTTCTGATAAATATATTAAGTTAATCTCGAGCTAAAATTCGTATGCGAGTAAAAACTTTATGATTAATTTATATTGTACAATAATTAGTCTACGTTTGATTTAATTTTTAATACAATGATTAATATAATTCGATATGTAAGAATATAAAGATTTGTAATGTATTTTATGGATTGAGAATGATATTAAGACGAAAATTCTAAAAATCATAATAACATATTGGTTGGTATTAAATTTTATTTGATTTTTGTTGCATCATAATGTAAATTTAATCAAAATAAAATTAATAAATACAATTAAAATATAACAAATTTATTTAAATAAACATAATAAAATATATTATAGA